TTGAATGATGATTATATGATTAATGTCCTTGTGTGTGATTATCATATGATTAATGTCCTTGTGTGTGCTGATCATATGATTAATGTTCTAGTGTGTGATGATCATATGATTTATGTCCTTGTGTGTGATAATCATATGATTTATGTCCTTGTGTGTGCTGATCATATGATTAATGTTCTAGTGTGTGATGATCATATGATTTATGTCCTAATGAGTGATAATCATATGATTAATGTCGTAATGTGTGACGATCATATGATTAATTTCCTAATAATTGATGATCACACGATTAATGCCATATTGGGTGATGATCATATGATTAATGACTTAATGTGTAATGATTATATGATTAATTTCCTAATGATTGATGATCACACGATTAATGTCCTATTGAGTGATGACCATATGATTAATGTCCTATTAATTGTGTGATGATCATACGATTAATGCCCTAATGTGTGATGATCCTATGATTAATGCCCAAGTGTGTGATGATCATATGATTAATGTCCTAGTGTGTGATGACCATATGATTAATGTCCTATTGTCTGATGATTATATGATTAATGTCCTAGTGTGTGATGACCATATGATTAATGTCCTAATGAGTGATGATCATATGATTAATGCCCTAATGAGTGATGATCATATGATGACACAATGACATTCATATTTCTGTAGAGTACCAAAACGTGAAAGAATTTAATTACTTTGAAATACAGCTTGTTAAGCAAATTAGCATTTCAACCTCATCATGAACTAAAGGTAAATCTCATGGCACAGAAATAAAATTTTCTCGAACTCTTCTACAGAGAGAAGTGTTTAATTGCCATTTCCTCAAAAAATACTTAGACTTAAATTATTTGCTGATGTGAACAAGATTCTTTTAGAATTTTTGTTTATTGTTTTATTTTAATAACTGATTTGGAAAATAGAGAAAATGTGGGAAAATTATTGGTTATTGTTGATAAAATTACAGATCTTATAAACTGAAAATTGACTAACAACAAGAGGACTGCAGGAGATTGTTAATTTACACTTTTTGGACCAGCACTGTTAGAGTCCAAAATTTTCTTCAAGAGTGATAAAATTTCACAGCTTAAAAAATTAAATGATAAGTGTTTGAATAAAAAGTAAAATAAGAAAAATGGGTGAGCTCATTTCAAGGCTGCTTCAAAATTACGGGATTCGAGTTTAGAAGTTATGGGCACAATAATACTCATAAGCAAATATTGAATATTGTGTGGATATCAGTTGAACTTTTGTCTGAAAAGAAAAAAAAATGTTTTCCTTTGGCAGATAAAAGTCCCCCCCCCCTAATATTTGATACTTGCTGTGTATTATTGGTTAGATTCTATTAATATATTCATCTTTTATATTTGGATTGTTTAGAAATTGTATTGGATTTCTTTCCTGTTACTGTTTTATCATTATTTGCTTAAGGTAGGATTCTTCTCAAACAAAAATTAATGAAATTTTCACAGAATCAAGAAGACAATATTACTAAGTGATGGTATCAGTAAGATTAGTTTTGACCGTTTCAGATTAGAGTAAAGGTCAGGTCAAGGTCATTATACGTTTTCCCTGGACATTAAGAATAATAAAAACTGCATCCAATCGTGTGATAGGATCTTCTAATTCAAAAGACTAAATATTTTTCTTTTTTGCATAGAAAGATATTACCACATAGGGTTTATAAGATGATAATACCAAATTAACACAAATAGTTTAATAAAAATGGATTTTGGTTAATCCGAATTTTCTCTGTTTTTTTAAAAAAAAATCCTAGGATATTTAAGCTATCTTTATATGCGCCCTATATTTAATTTTTTCTTATTTTCACATATGTTAAAGAAGTCATATAGAGATACAAAACCTAACAATCAAAGATACGTAGCAGGTTCCAGAAATGTTTTATAAAACCTCTTTATTCACTACTCACTAAATTATTAGCAGCGGCGAATGAGAAGCTTCAAGAATACTATGAAACAATTCACTCGAGGAGTGTTGTAAATCAAATTGTGGATACTTAAAAATTCCAATGAAAATTTTTAAAAATTGAAATCATAACTGAGAATTATACCTAAATCAATAACACACATATAAAAAACTTTCGACTTTTCAGCTCTATACACGACCATTCCCTATAAAGAATTCAATTCTAAAGTTTTTGACATCAATGACAAGTTAAAAAATAAAAATAAAAATGGAACTCTTAATTAGATTTATTTATTTTGCTAAAAACGTTCTGATTATACACACAAGTACTCTGCAGCTAAAATATTAAGAAAGATACATGAGTTTCAGATTGATCTATGTGGTTTTGGGAGACCAAGTCTTCCAAAATATCTGTTGGAATTCCAATGGGGACCTATTCTGGTATTCATATGAAACAGAATTTATGCATAATCTTAAACATTAGAAGAAGAAAACACTTGCTGTGGCCTTCAACTCGACATTTAGATATAGCGACGACGTATTGTCTAATAATATTTCCGTTCATATGTTCATACGATATATCCAGTGATCTTGGAATAAAAGATGCAAGTCAGAGTCTGACACATTTGTTTCATAATTAGATTTTATACGAGAAAAAAGACATTAATGGTTACGTAACAACAAAGTTTTATGATATTAATGTGACGACTTTCACTTTTCAGTCTCACCTGCCTGTGGTATGCAACAATATCACCTGAATTCGTAATTTATATCTTTCAGTTGATTCTAGTTGATGAAACGAGAATATCTGCAGTCTCGTTTAAAGTCATCATTTCGTAAGTTCCATGGTCGATACAATGACTGTAAGAGGATGCAATTTATCATTAAGTCAACTGCTAATTGACGTTTTTTCGTAATAATTTTTAAGCCATTATTTACACACAGATTTGTCGACGGTTTTTCCCCGTCATTCGAAATAAATACTGTAAACCAACTTTAATTCGCTTGCGAGAAATATATGCTAGTTTCGCAACCTATTCTGAGTCGCAAATATTAATCACTGAGAACCATTTATTTTGCTTTATTTTCTAGAAAACGTTTCCTTGATTGATTTCAAACTGACAAATCGCGAATAAAAGATGACGCGAATAATAGTTAGTTTACAGTACCAATTTTCCGATCATAACAAGGAGCACACGCGGCTAGTGTGACCGGTCGGCAGGGATGCTCACTCATCCATAGCACCTGATCCCACCTCTGATGCTTTAGAAGTCTGTGTTTGCTCTGATAAAAATGAATGTCTATTACATAATTAAGCCTTAATGTGTGATGATCATATCATTAATGTATATGTATATTATTGAAGCCCTAGTGTGTGATGATCATATGATTGAAGTCTCACTGCGTCATGATTAAATTATTGAATCCCTAGTGTGCAATGATCCTATGATTAATGTCCTACTGCGTGATGATGATATGATTGAATCCCTAGTGTGTGATGATCATATGATTGATATCCTAGTGCGTGATGATCCTATGATTAATGTCTTACTGCGTGAAGATTATGTGATTGAATCCCTAGTGTGTGATGATCGTATGATTGATGTCCTACTGCGTGATGATTATATGACTGAATCTCTAGTGTGCGATGATCATATGATTGATTCTCTAGTGCGTGATGATCCTATGATTACTGTCCTACTGCGTGATGATTAAATTATTGAATCCCTAGTGCGTGATGATCGTATGGTTTAAGTCCTATTGTGTGATGATTATATGACTGAATCCCTGGTGCGTGATGATCATAATGATTAACGTCGTACTGCGTGATGATTATATGATTGAATCCCTAGTGTGTGATGATCTTATGATTGATATCCTAGTGTGTGATGATCGTATGGTTTAAGTCCTAGTCTGTGGCGATCATTTGATTTTAGTCCCATAAAGTGTGATGATATTATGAATTAAGCCCTAGTGTGTGATAAATATTTGATGAAAGCCTATGTATGTTATGATCATATAATGGAATTCCTAGCTTGTGATGAACTTTTGAATAAAATCCTAGTTAATGATGATAAAAGTCCTGGTTGGATGAAATCCTAGTGTTTGATGAACATTTGAGTTACGTCCTAGGATGAGATCCTAGGAGTTAATCATTATCCTACTCAGAAAATGTACTTTTGATCTAAAAAGACATTAACTAATTATGATTAATCACATGCTTATTTTTTATAGTATAACAATTCTGACAAAAAAAGGTATAAATCAATAATGATACAATGATTTCCAAATCAAAATATCTCTTCTATTTTCTTCTATTATAGCCCTGCTTAAGGACGTTCGATCCTGAGCTTTTGAGCGGATTTTGGTCCTATTCTTTATTTATAAAATTCTGCATCATTTTTAGGTTCTAACATTACATCTGAATTCTATGATGCAAATTGAACTATATTCAATGAAAAAACCGCGATAAAATTTCATTCAAGTAGAATTAAGCTAGGAACTATATTTTGTGGCGGAAGGGTTTTTAGAAGAAAATGATCAGTTTTTTCCCTTTTGAACTATAACAGTATTGTTAATTTTAGATTCCTATTTTTCCATGCTGGTTGCACACAAAGCTGTTTTTTTTTGCCGTAAAACGTGTTATGCTGGTTCTGAAATATCTATTAAATTATTTCTTATGAATTCTTTCCACGAAGTGTGACAAATATAGTAAATATATTCTGAAAATCTAGGAAAAAATTGGGCCAATTTTAACGTAAAATTGACACTTTTTTAGTAATATCTGAAAATTTACATCATATACCCCCACTTTTGATATTCTTTTCTAAATATTTAAGATATCTTTGACCTATTTGCTTAAATTCAGAAAAAGTTTAAGACTTTAAAATAATTTTCTGGCTTATTAAATTTTCATTGCCAGAAAAATCACATTTTATTAGTGCAGAAAGGTCAAATAATTGAATCTGCGACGCAATTTGAAACTTTTTATTAGTCACAATTTTAAAGTGTCTTTTTTCAAATAGACTTAGAGTTCAATTTGTTTCATCCTTTAATTGGATAAAAATATTGGAGGGAAAACGGCGAAGATGTAATTTTTGATTAATACACAAATTTCAGTGCAAAAAGGTCACATTTAATGTACTGTAGCGCCAAAAGAAGCATATTGACCCCCATTTTTTGATTTGAATTTTAATTAAGCTATGTATGTAGAAACTAAAAATATACTTGGCAAAAAAAGTTTAAGACTTTAAATATCAGGATCGAACGTCGTTAACATACTTAGAATTAACTGCTCTTTATTTTTACTCAAGGGTGCCTCAACTAATTAAGGTCCCTTTCACGGATATAACTAAGCCTTGAATTACAGTCGCCCGTGTTGACTTTGTAATCGTTAAACTGTTCTAGAAGTAGACAGTCATCTCCGGTGGTGTAAAAGTTGTTGGAGAAGCCGGGCGCCCACGCTGTCAGATTGACCGGCTGAAGGCTTGACCACCAGATCATGGTTCCATCACTAAGGGCATCTGTGCCACCGATGTGAACAGCAGCTAAAAATTTGAAGAAAAAAAAAACAAAGCCAAAAATTACTGATCTTTATTTATCTGTGTAATCCCTGGAAACTCTATATATCTACAATTCATATCTTGAATTCTTAACATTATAAATTTGATTTCTGTGTAAAGATTGTTAATATTAAACATCATGTACATTTTAACAACTTACTCGTATTCATATCCTGTGCCAGTTCTTTAACAAAATCATATTCGTCGGTTGTTTCAATCTCTACAAGTTTCGAACCATTTCCCCTGCAGGCAATCTATAAATAGAAAAAAATATCATGTGGTTCTGAAAAGACATATCAAGGAATACTTGATCTTTGAAATACATTTGTTTTGTTGTACAGTGTATTAAGTTGCAATACAACTAAATATAGGGTGTGTGTTTTTGTTATTTTTTCCCATCATCTTACACCCCCACGTCACCCATCCTTGTCTTGTTGAGTACTTCCCCCCTTCTTATATCATTTTCCCCTTTGTGATTCCCCCTTTTTATCTTAATTTTTCCCCTATTATCCATTCAGACATTTTTGCCTTCTTTATTTTCGCCCTTCCAATTTTCCTTAACTAATCACCCCAACTCTCTAATTACATTCAATGGAAACTATGTACATTCCCCCTTAAAATTACTGTGTTCAGAATTATAAAAAAACATATATTAGAAAATCTACTTTCCAAATATTGTTTGTAAGATTTATAAAGTTGACAGGAAGTATACGAGGGTTGTCCCGTAAAATCGTGGACAAGTTGTCTAGTTTGAAAAATAATCATCACTGCGTTCTGAAATTTTCTCTACTATTTAGTACATATATTATAAATATACAGCGCAATTTTCAAATAGATATATGCATAAATAAACAAATTATTAGATTTTATGTTAATATAACGGCCACGTGATATCATTTGAAGTGTCATATATATCTTTGTTAATAAAGTTGGATAAATCCCACTTATATTAAGAAATTCCATTGATTCACATATGTGAGTGTATATAACCAGTTAAGGTACCAATCTAGCACATACATGCGATCTTATAAAGATTTATTATGAAGTTACGGACAGTATTCTCACCATTAGTGAACTAAGTTAACAGACAATCTCATATCAACGGTCGACAGTGACAACGTCTTTTGCTATTACAATAGCAGTTATATCCGTATATTTTGTACTACCTAGGGACTCAATCAAAAAGACTTCGCTAAGAAATCTTCAATTTCATTTATATACTAAAGATCTGATGATTTTTGTCATATTTTCTTCTGTATTCATTTAAAGTCTCTTAAGGTGTTATTACAACATCCTAATCTAACTGAACTGCTCTCCGGTGCGCCGTAACGTCATCAATAACCACCATTTTTCGTGCATTGTGTTTACCACTTTCACACTGCGAATGCTCGGGAATCTGTCAAAAATTAATCAAATGCCTTGAAATTTTTGTAAATACGACAAAATTGATTAAGGAATCGAATTATGATAATTTTTATCACAATCTTATGTATTGAAAACTTTTATTACGAATTAATTCTTGTGTATTCTCTAATATAACCTTGTTATTTTTACCGTGCGCCGTAGGACCGTACCTTGTGCACATTCAAGCGTAATAGAATCTTTATTTTTGCCTGTTTATTATCAAAAACATAATGATGTACTTAAATATGATGAATAAACATTTACTGAAAATTTCAGCTTAGTGCGCCCATTACATTTCGAGAAAAACGCTTTGTCCACGATTTTACGGGACAACCCTCGTACAACTCAACGCACTTTTTAAGCTGACATGGTTTTTCGCACAAATTAAGGTCACATTGTTGTAATAAAAATTAGCATTTTCGAACTGCAGTACAATAATATAACCCTATTGCATATGTAATGTTTAAGCATAGATGTCTTTTAAAATCATTATCTTAGTTTCCAAAGTGGATGTTTTTAAGGGGAATTTATATGTAATTGGTACGATGTTTCGACTACACGATTCCACCATAGGTTTTTAACAAATGTATAAAACGAGCTTTCCTTGATACCAAGTAGTTGAACATTTTAAATTTTCTTCTTAAAGGTGAGTAGTTTAAAATTTTTTTTTGTTCATTTACCATACTCCTCTTGGTTTTGTCGAAATGTAGCGCTGAAAAGGGATAACATTGCAAAAGGAAACCACACTCAAGGGAAGGATAATGATCAGTATTGTTTTTTTTTTTAATAATAAATTCCTTCTATGAAAAGAAAAATTCCTCTGCATTTACGGTTTGAAAGGTTAGAATTTTGCAGTGGGATGAATCTCTCATGAGTCCAGATTTTAGAAGTTGACTCTGAAAAATCCAACCTTATTAACATATAAAGCAGTCAAAGAGATAAAAAATACTATTATCATCCCGAGCTAAAGAGTCAAAGTGTACAGATAATACAAGTTGCAGTAGCTAAACTGTGCCCATGTCTACATTTCTGCAAAGAGCTATTGCTTTCAAAAGAACGGATAAACCACAAGAATTAATTCAAATGAGAATAGCTGTTATTTTTCAGCAATGAAAATACATGTACAAGTTCTGTACCAATTGATATGTGTGAATTATGTTTTAGTAAATGAAATAACCCTGGTAAAACTCAAATAATATAAACAAATACTTTTAAAATGTATTACACAATATTACATCATAAAATGTGACCTTAATTTGTGCGAAAAACCATGTGAGCTTAAAAAGTGCGTTGAGCTGTATGTGTTTTTAATATATAGCAGACCGTTCAAATCACGATTATAGATTACATAGGACTAACGGCGGATGTTCGTTGTAAAATGGGGATGCTTACTACTCATATGCACCTGATCCCACCTCTGGAATTCCCAAGTAAACGTGTTTTTGCCCTCTTTACAATTTAGTACTTTTATTGTGGATTGTATTTAGATTGATCACAGATAATTATCTTTGCATTTTTTAATCTCAGCTAAATGAAATAAAGTCACGTGACCTATGTACGTATTACCTGTGCTTCGATCCATGTTTTGTCCGTGAATTCGGAAAGGTAGTAAGAATTTTCATATCCAATCCAATCATCTTCACCTTAAAATGAAAAATAAAATACCGTTATATTTTTTTTTCTTAAATTAACATTTATTTCACTACTAGTATATTTATTGATAACGAATTTATTTATTTCATGTATACACGAGTGTGCTAATTTTTCCTAAAAAAGAAAACTTTCTGTATTATCGGTATAGTAAACAATACAGTAAAATGCTTTAAAGGTGCATAGATACAGATTTGAAGTCAATATTTTCTATATATAAATATGACGACTTATACATGTATATTGTAATAGGATTTCATATGAAAATACATTAAAAAATCTTTTTTTTTCATCTTAAATTTATTGAAACTTCAAATTTTTGGACAGTTTTGATTGACACATCCTTGCACTTTCACTTTGTAAAATGTTATTGCAATATATAAGTCGTGATATTATACAGAAAATTTGAGAAAACATTAACAAAACTTCAGCAAAAGTATGAAAGAACATATTCGAGTGGTGTTTTAAAAAGCATAATTGATTCTTTTCATCCAAAAATCTTCTATCAATCAGAACGTGTCAGAAGTGGGTACTTATCTTTAACAAGGCGGGCCTAGCTCTAAATTTGATTCAAGTTTTTTTTTTTAAACATGCCTACGATGTGTCCTTTCTAAATCATTTTATTTTTTTAAATTATGTCGAAGAGTTTTTTCGTCAGAGGTGTCGAAAAATTGTGCGTTTTCCTTGAAAATTGAAACTTTTGAAATGAAAACGTCATCATGGCGTTACAGATTTTAACGTCATGTTAAAAGAAATTAGTAACTTCTCTTAATCGAAAATTATTTACTTTAACCTGTTGATGTTCCAGAAAACAAATTTGAACTTTTATTTCAATTCATCGTACATGCATCTTTGACACTTTGAACTAGTGAAATAATTTGCAGGAATGTTTAATTTAATAACACACATATACGTATCCGATTTCATCAGACAAGTTATGAAACTGGAATCATCCAGACGAAGGAATGGAATCCCAGAAACATGTACGCAATAAGTGTATAACAGTAAAAGAAATCAAAAAAATATTTTAAGATTAAGACAGTTTACATACTTGAAAATGTTGTGGAAAGATGTATAAATCCCAAAGACTGTATCAAATTATTAAGAGCCAAAACTGTGGTCAGGACACATTTCTTCTTCCTGTCATCAAAAAAGACTTCAGAGCAGATTGGCATACTCAGACAAAGGGAGCAACAAGACAATAAACTTAGACTTCCGTCTACCACTTTCAAGATATCCGAAGCCTCAGGACACATGTTTTCATTTTGAGACACTCGAACAAAACCAGCAAATTGGTTAAAACCGAGCACAACTTCCATAAAAAGATTTACTATTACAAAAAGGAACAACCTAGATTTCATTTTCATCTGATAGTTTTTGTCGAAACTTATTTGGTTTGCACGATACTCAATAATGATTCTTATGGGTTTAAATGCTATGAAAATAGTTGATAAAATTAACCAAAATCAACATTATTTTTGCATTGCTTCGGGAATATTTAATAGTTTAATAGTTTAATAGTTATCTAAACAGACTCCGATTATAATGTAAATATTTATCAATATGAAAAATACGTTAAAGAAGCAACAATATTGTGTGGCTATTTCATGTACTTGTCGTTTTACATGATTTACATAATGAAAAAAAATTAATTATTAATTGGTTTCAATTTTTGGGTTGTCCAAAAAGCCATGAAAAAACTTACTGTAGGTACTGACATTGAAATGGGAAAATAAACATGTGATGGTAGTATGTTTTAGTATAAGAAGACTTTGTCGAAATAAATATACCACTGGAGACCCTGATAATATGGTGTCTTTTATTCCTATGTATTTTTGAAAACAAATCACTTGTAAATATTATTTTATACTATTAAAAACTGAATGGCTCACTTACAAAACAGAGTCTGTTGTTATACAACACGTATAGATTGCCCATATTTCCGTACCAGATATTGTACCTAGTGTAAATAGCTCTCAGCAGGCATTTGATTTTGAATGCAGTCAAAAGTGCAGAAAAACAATAAATTCGTACTTTCCATGTGTTGGTAATACACTTTTATTGTTTCCAGTCTACCTACAAATGATATTTTTTTTAATTTATCAATAAATGCCTTCCGTTTCTATATACTGTTTGCAGGGGAAGATTATTTGATTGTTGTACTTTTTCTTATTTTGTTGTTCAGTTAAAGTTACACTAGTTTTACCGTGCATGACGTCATGTTTTCCTGCAAGCAAAACCGTCACAGGTAGCTCTGTCGGTAGAACGTTCGCTGAAGTGTTCGGAGGTCATGTGTTCGAATCATGGCCGCAACTGACATAAGTCGATAAAAAAGGTACCAACTGTTTCTTTGCCAAGCGCTCGGTGAGAGTTGTCAGATGAGGCCGTAAAAACCGAGGTCACGTATCAGGCGTGGCACAATGATCAATGGTCTTTAGTGTCGAGTTAAGGTCTAAATTTGAAGCCCTTCGTCAGCATTGGTAATTAACGTCTCTAATTGAGTGAAAAATTCTCGAACAGGACGTACAACAACAACAATCAATCGATCGATCAATAAATCTTATGTCAGGGCGTATTTTTTACCCATGGGAATTCCGACATATTGTTCTAAGATCTGACCTAAATATATTGCCAATCTGAAACTCAGGTATTTTTTTTGTTGAAAATATCAACTTCAGTAGCACAAACAAAGTATTTTGAAACAAAATAATTTGGTAAATGACCAATGACAAGCTAAAGGAAAGCAAATTTGCCAGTTAAATGACATTTTCATTGAGATAGCAACTGTAAATGGTGTTATAAAGATTGGACTCACAACACTATTTTGTAATGGTAAAATTCACCAGTTATGACATGTGCAGCAGGCCTATAGTTTTAGGGAGGATTCCGTTTTAGATGTTTGATATAGATCTAATCCCTGTAGAGGTCTTTTGTTATTAAAAAAATACGAAGCAATAGTTGGTATATATTTGTAGGAAAAGTAAAGTGTGAACTTGGTTAATCCCAGTGAGATCGGAATAAAATATACCGCAGAGTTTATATATATATATATATATATATATATATATATATATATATATATATATATATATATATATATATATATATATATATAAATTAAATCCAAGATAAACAAACAAGTTTACGTTTAATTTTTTACACTAAGCGCTTTCGACTCTTCAGAGTGTAACAATGATAATCAGGTATTTTTTTTATAACTTAACCTATACCATGGACTTCTACAACATTTTCCTTATATATATATATATATATATATATATATATAGAAAGCACAAAGAAATTCACTTTTACATGGATACCCACTTCCGAGACCCGGGGTTGCTGATCGACCTTCGGAATCTGTCTCCTAGCAGTGCAGGAACAGCGCGCTAGACCGCCAGGCTATCTAGCCAAGTCAAAAAACTTGCTTTCGCCAGTCAGCATTTGCCTCAGTGATAAATGATTTATTGTACTCGCAGACAAGGTCATTGTATCAACAATAGAACTTGCGAAATATTTGGGAATAACCAACACTATTTGAGCTAAAAAGTCCACTAAACAATACAAAATAGGAACAGAGCAAACACGGACCTCCAAAACATCAGAGGTAGGATCAGGTGCCGTGGACAACTGAGTGTATAAATAATGGACTAACAATCAGTATGAAAAAAGTCAGTCAGGATTTGACTTAATGATAAATAATATTTGCTAACAAGGACATTGTATCGACCATAGAACTTACGAAATGATGACTTTAAACGAGACTGCTGATATTCTTGTTTCATAAACTTGTTTGACAACTTTTCCTCGTTTAAGAAATTGAACATACGTAGAGCATGCTCTTGCTTATCGAATCAATTGAGAGATATAAATCCTGTATGCAGGTGATGAAGGTATATTGCTGCATAAGTAAGGGTAAATGACAGTTGAAAAGTTAAAGTCATCATGTTTATCACGTTTAAAGCTTGGTTTAACGTCTTTTCAAGTAATATATCCAAGTATGATATAGATGTGTCCGACTCTATGGTATCTTTTATCTCAAGCTAACCGGGATATTGTATCGACATAAGAGTGGAAATAACCATTGTTAAATGACAATACGTCGTAGATACATGTATATCTAAATGTCTAGTTGAAGGCCGTAACAAGTGTTTTCTTCTTTTCATGTTTAAGATTTTAGAGAAATTCTGCTTCATAAGAATACAAAAACAGGTCTGCTAATAACGGGACAATTGGTACTCATGGGAATACCAACAGATTGTTGGAAGACCTGATCTCCAAAAACACAAAGAATTGTTAATCAGAAAATAAAACATCTTTTTTAATGTCAACTTCAGGACACTTGTGTTTACAATCAGAATTTTTAAACATATAAACATTTAAAATAATGAGCCTTACAAATAAAGAAAATGTTGTTTTTGCTTTGTCAACAGGGACCAGCACGTACTGATCATAACATCTATCTAATTATTTTTTTCACTTCTGGAGTTTGAATACAGATGGATAGATGGTTTTTATTTTTCTCCTCAATCCTTTCATAAGCGATTTTAACATACATCTGTTGCATGCAGCTGTATAATCCATTCTGACAAAGTATCAATGTCTTCCTTTTCATGTCTGGCCCATCGCCTAGCGTAATATTCTACAGGTTAGAGATTAATAATATTTATGAACTTACGACGACAGTTAAAGGATCGGGTTTCCTTATACAGGGACCTCCATGAGCTGTTTTACTGTGTTGCTCCCAACACAGTAAAAATTTCTCCGACACAGTAACGATTCAAATTTTATGCGTGCGACACAGTAAAAATTTTGCCGACACAGTTAGATCTGTGATAATTAGAAAATTCAAACATATCAATTCTCTCTAACTGAAACTTTAATCAAACAATGCTATCGTCTTTCAATTGTGAAATATTCGATGTCTATTTGTAGGGAAAACAAAGTGTAGTCTTTAATTTGAAATATGGTAGAATGTAAGAATGGACCCTTTTGTGATAAAGAATATTACTTATACAATACCGCGTCAATCCCTGAATCAATTATTTAGTAATTTCCTTTGGAAACTAAATACAATTATATTTCCATCGTCTTTGATCTTTGACTTCTTTCCCATCTATTTTCTTTCTTGTCTAATACGATGTAAACTTTCAGTCCCATTACAATAAATTCCATTAATTTAAATATTGTCTATTTGGGGAATGTTGCATAATCCGACCATTTTCTTTAAAATCAAATGGTATTGGATTAGACAAGTTTAACTATGTATTTCATATTTATATTGATAATTTTTCCTTTTTCTTTGAAGGAATATTAAAATTTTATTTGAGCGATTTGATCTTTAATCCTTGATATAGTTTGTAAAAAAAAATAATAATTTTGTAGATGCTTAAAATTTATTTTTCCAATGTTGTTTCAAAATAAATTCAAACATAATACAACCCACAAATGGTGTTAAAAACTTTAATTTCCAATATTATTTAAGAAAAATACGATTTTTAAAGTTAATTAAAATATTTTTTCAATGAAAAAAGAAAATTGACATTGATTATCCGGTGCTTGAGCTTGCAGGGCGATCTTTAGAGTCCCCATTTACAATGACACGTCCAGCATTGGTTATCTTCCTTGCTTAAAATATACCCTCGCCAGCAAAATGGACATCGCAAAGTTGGACAGCCTATAGAAAACATTTTTGTATATGTACTAACGTAATGTAATTAAACTTTATTCCTTTTTGATAAAAGGGTGCCTGTAAAATGCGAAACCGAGTGGAAAAGGAACGAAATAAAACGAAAGGAAACGAAAGAAAATCTACCGAAACGAAAGGAAACCTACAAAAACGAAACATGGAAGGTTTCCTTCGTTTCGGTAGATTCGTTTCATTTCTATTTCGTTTTGCATTTTACAGGTACCCTTTAAAATTAAGAAAGAAAAAAAAACCAGCCAAATTAGAAAGTACTTTCTTATACATTCACATACATTCGCACACAAATAAAACAAATTAATGAAAGCATTATTATGAGCACCAACATGATCGCAAAATAATATATCACAAGAGATCAATAGGAAATAAACATTAAGTTCAATACGTAGGTTTGAATTTCAAGGTATTTGCATGTACTGTAAATCAACTGTTATTCGCGATTCGTCAATTTGATATCAATCCGCAATGATTAATTTTCGCGACTGAGGAAACGCTTTCTAAAAATACTGAATGAAAATGAATGCATGGGTTCGCGACGATTAATAATCGCCAGTTAGAGTAGGTTGCGTAACTTGCGGATATTTTTCGCACGCGAATAAAAATTGGTTTATAGTATATTTAAATATAGATGCTGTATAAGAAAATTTATCTAAGGAGTATAACATTTTATATATAGCATAGTAAAAGATTTGACAAAAATGAAATGTTTTCTATTTTCCAATTAAATCTTGCAATCAATTTAACTAAGAGTATTTTCATTTATCTTGCAGCTACTTACATTGACATGTTCTGCATCCATTTGCGTCCTTGACGTATCCCGATCGACATTTACTTATACAACGTTCTTGTTTTCGACATGCCCCTGCAAGTGATCCTGAAAGAGATTAAAAATGTATATTCCGGAATATCTAATACCGTCTAGGCTTTTTTCACGATTTTGATATTTAACGTTCCAGGAAAACGTCAGAACCGGCACCATTACGAAAACTGAAAATATTGCCGTCTCGCAATTGTGAATCGAATAAAATGCCAAACTTACAATTCAAATCAATAGCACAATTAACGCTTATAGTTCTCACAAATATCGATAAAAAGATACTCATTCCTCATCTTGATATAGTATTTGCAACATTTCACAATGCACGAAATATAAATAAATCGCAACAGTAAGATAACATGTTATCATAAGATTGTTATTTTATAGATGAACCATTAAAACGATACTGGTAAGTACAAAAAGTTTAACACAATTGATAACTTATGAGTTTGACATTTAATTCGGTTCACAAGTATCTAAAATCAACCCGAGAATATCGCTTTCGCAATGGCACCTGTTCTGACGTTTTCCTGGCACGTAAAATATTAAAATCGTACAAAAAAGCCAGGAAAACGTAAGACATTTCGGACTAACTCTCGGAATAAGTAGGTGAGTAAATACCATAAAGTGTATTAATTAGTAAATTGCATTTATTTTGAGGATGCTTGTCCTACATTTCAGATTTCTGAGAGGATTGATTGATTGTATATTGTTTAACGTCCCTCTCAAAAATTTTTCACTGATATGGAAATGCCACCACTTGCCGGTTGCAGTTGAGAGATGCAAATTCTGCCCTTTACTCGGCACTTAGGGCCATTGAGCAGGGAGGTGTCTTTTTCGTGCCAGCACATAGTGTGACACGGGACCTCGGTTTATACTGTCTCATCCGAAGGACAGGTCTCCACGTCCCACAGCGGGATTCGAACCTGCGACGTAAGGATCAACTCCTTACTTCCTTCGCGACTCTTAGAGCAGACCTCTAACCACTGCGCCATGCAGGCGACTTCCAGGGAGGAAAACAAGTATGAAATTCACAACTTTTACATCACTAACCTGTTTTGATTACCTTTAAATATACTT